TAATAAATTTATTAGTCTCTAAGGTGCCACAAGTACTCCTGTTCTTCTTTTTGTATATACTATGTAAATCTGCTTATGGGCCAGCTTCTCAGCTGCTGTAAATCGGTGTAGCTCCACTGAAGTGAAAGGAGCAGCTCTCATTTATATCAGCTGAGGATCTGGCCCATTTACAATGAATATTTGAACACAAGTTTTTGGTAAGCTGGTCTTCAGACAGTCAGGTACTGGTGTAGGTCCACATACTTAGAAATATAATTACACCTAGTCACTGCCTTGTACTGTGGTACCTTAGATGAGGTATAAAAAAAAAAAAAGGACAATTCCCCCTGTTTGTTTTGGGTAAAAATGCAAGGCAAATAATTCCCCTTCCTCTGGCAGAGTGAGAAGAATATTGAGTAATTATCCTTTCTGGTCTATGATCTGATCCCTTGTCTTCAAAGTGCATGTTGTGAGTGTTCTTTGGCAAACATAGGAAAAATCTGGGTTCTGTCTATCAGATTATGTCCCATACTCCCAAATCACCCCTTATTCCCTTCTTTCTCATCCGCTCCATATTGGCTCTCCCAGCTGACTTACACACAGCCATCTTGTCCTCATCATGCAGCAACCTCTTGCCTCCATTCCAAAGTCCTCTACACAGCTCCCTTCCAACAGTAATCATGTCCTTTCCCTAGGCCCAAAGGAGAGCCACCTTGAATGATCCCTTGGAATATGCGCTAATTATACTAAACAATCTGTTCCACCTTGCATTTAGCTGTGATGCTCCGAGTACCTTTCCCAGACCTGAAGAAGAGCTTTGTGTGACTCGAAAGCTTGTTTCTCTCACCAACAGAAGTTGGTCCAATAAAAGATATTACCTCCCTACCTTATTACTCTAATAACCTGGGACCAACACAGCTACAATTACACTGCATACAGCTACAATAGTAATTTATAGCCTCATAGTGAAGTAAAGAGATTGCAGGGCTGCTATAGCTCTGTCAGCCTAAATATTCAAGTAATTGTATTTAAGGAAGAAGAGGGTTTTTTCCTTATACATTATCCAGCAAAAGTTCACTTCTTAACTGGAAATGGTGTTTGGTTTATGATGGTTCTTTGTGTTTTTTCCTGATTAGTCATTTATAAGAAGTCATTGTCTGAAAGTTTAAAAGGCAAACAGTTTCCGTGATGGAGCTATTCTTTAAAAATATTGTGTGAGAGTAAAAAAAGTTTGGACTTTTGCAAAAGCAGACATATGTATTGAATTTGTGTCACAAAAAATGAAAGACATAGCAGAGTGTCAATAGAACACGAAGCAGGTTCTATGACAGATTCCACGATGCAATATATCATTTTATAGCCTTTTTCATGTAAGTATCCAAGGATACAACTGCATTGTATTACTGCCATGTTGGTAATCAAGCTCAGAGAATGCCATTTTCAATTTTCTGATTTTTCAGAATTACTAAGGAACTGTGTTTTCAAATATATTTTTATGTGTTTGTACCGCAGCTAGCATAGTGTGCCCTGTGGTGGACATGAAGCTGATATGTAATAATTTAGGAATACTGTATGTGACCTGGTTATTGGAATGTTTACTGTATACACATGTTGGTTTAGTGAATAGCAGGTAGTCAATGGCTCCAGATAAAACACTCCCTAGTAAACAAGTCAGAAAGTTAAGAGACAATACCTAAGCTATAAATTGTGAAGAATCTGATTCCTTAACAGCCAACTTACACAACTGTTTTGCCAAGGCTGGGAACAAACAGATCAAAAGGACCCTAATCAATTAAAAGTCTCTCTGTCCAGAGGCAGTTATCAGGAACTGTTTGTGGGGAACAGGCAGACACAAGCAGGAGCAGTGGCTGGTACACAGGGTACTGTAGCATGGGACCCATTTTCAGAGTGGGAGAAATGTAGATTTGGGTTGACCAAAACATTTAGGCAAATTCACATTAAATTTGCAAATTGTTTTGGTCAGGGGAAAAAACCAAAATCAAAACAAATTCCGAACAATTGAAAGGTTTCATGTTTCAATTTTTCAGTTTGAAATAACTTTTTGTTTCAAATTTCACTTTAGTTTGATTCATTTAGTTGCACAGCTCTATTACACATCATGCAATGGATACATTCTTAAGTTGAGTCACTAAATTCTTTGACACAAGTTCAAGTTAAGGGCCTGCTTCTCAACTGATGTAAATCAGCATAGCTCTACTGGTTTCAGAGGAGCTATGCCAGATAAGAATCTGGCCCTGAATATTCTAGGCTGCTGTGAAAAACGTTTTCAAAATAAAATCCACAAGTGAAAAATATCAACAGATATTGATCCAGCACAAACAATACCACCAGGACAGTATATTAGCTATAGCTTCATCATACTGCATGATAGTGTGATCCAAAAACAACTTAAGTAATAAAGACTTACCTAATGAGGGGGAAAAAATAACAAAAACAAAAAGCCAAGGGCATACAAGATTCTGGAGTAGGACCAGAGATCTCCATGAAATTGTGATATGAATATCATTGAATGGGAGACGTGGATTATGAAAAAAAAAACAGAAGAAAAAATGTGACAGATTTATGGAATGAAATCTGCAAGATTCAATCTCTCCCGATTAAAACTAAAAATGACAGTGTGCTGCAAGAATGGGCAAAAACACTACAGTTTACAATCACATTTTTATAAAGTTTTGAACCCTCATGGTGGAATACTATTATATTTTTATAAACTAATATGCTATATCCTTTTAGAATAGCAAAGGGAGACAATGGATTTTGAGAAGACCACTAAACTCACCTTGTTTTTCCATGTGATTGCATAGGCATTCCTTTGTGCTGTACTCTAGAAAAACAAGCCCGGCCACCTGATTTAGCATGGCATAGACTGTAGCAAAAGTAGGGTTTTCTATGTGAAGATCTATCTAGATTATATAAACTGTTTTAACCATCCCATCTTCCACCTCAAATGCTTTTTACTTGTTAAAATCAAAGTTTAAATATTCTGCAAAGTAACTGAACTAAAACATGTCATCTCATCTCACACTGCATTTGTATTATTCCTGACAAAGATGACACCCAGAACTGTCTTTAGGCTAAAGGCAGCTGTATACAACAAATGGAGCATGGAGGGTGAGGAAACAGCTGTAATCTCTCTCTACTCCATTCCCATCTCCTAGACTGTATATACAGAGAGGAAGGATTTGGGATTGGTCTTTAAACCCATTGGTCAAATGGCTGGCTTTGGTCCAGGTGAAACATGAGAGGAAGCTGAGGGAAGAAGGAAACACAGAGACACACACACTTTCTCTCCATCCTCCCTCTCTCTGTAACAGTGATCATCAAAGCAGGAATAAACCTCATCCTGTTGTAATTGTGGTTTGATTTTTTATTTGTTATTCTTTAAAATAATCTGCTGGAATGGAACTTCTTTGTGTAAAAGGTAAGTGTTTAATAACCAGATCATTCATCAGAGTAGGAAGCTTTTTGTAGGCACTTGCTAAGTACATTTCTGTGAAGCCTAGATGTGCACTGCTTATTAAAGAGAATGGGAATGTTTGTTGCATAGCTTCCCCATGAGACGGGCTCCAAGCATCTGTAAATTCTACAAAGTTTTTAAGCACTTGCAGGCTGGTTGAACGGCTGCTTTGATTGGGCTCTGCTCCAGGATTTGCCTGTGGCTCACATTGCAACAGTTTGATACCATCTCCCCCTGAGGCGTGAGAGTAAAAGTTTTCACTGAGTTTGAGAACTGATGGGGATGCTCAGGTTGTTGAACAGAATGGTATTGCCAGTGTAGTCCAACTTGGGAGGTGGTTTTGGGGCTGCAGGGAAAAAAGGATGGAAGAGAAGGGGAAAGAGAAGAGATGTGGGAAAATGTAGAGATTAGAGTGGTAGGTGAGGGAAGCAGAACAGAATGCATTGGTGGGTTAGAGGGGTCTTCAGCAGAGAGTCCTGATATTTTATTCTTATTTATTGACAATTACCTTCTGCAGTGACAGATTCCAATCGTGAAATATATGGCTATGTACTAATGCATGTGTAGCACAAGTTTTACTTTTACATGGTGGTAATGGCAGCTGTTTTGTGCCCATTAAATCTGTCTCTTCATAGATTGGATTGGTGGGGAAAGTTTAGAACTCTCTTCCTGTTTTTAAAATCTAATTTTTAGTAAACATTAATAGACATATTTGACTTAGAAATGATGACATGGTGAGACTTTAACAAGTGTGACTTCTATATGAGCAGCGCTGCTGATAGTCCTGGGGTTTTCTTGATCAATGGAAGTGACAAGAAAGCAGATCTATTACAAGTCAGACCCTAATATGTATGTTTTCTAGTTGGTAAAGGCTAGATATCATCTTTCCCCACAGACATATAAATACCTATTTACAGCCCACATCTTTAGATGGCAATGGGAGCTATTTTGATTATGCAAAGCCTGTGAGCTTTTTTGAGTGATTATTATCCATAGATGTTCTTGAGATAGACACCGGACTCAGAACCCACAGTTGATGGATGTCACACCTTACTCACTATTTCTCTGACCTTGCTTCATGTTATGTCCATCTGCTAAATAGTTGAAGTGGTCACTTACACAATACTATGGCCATGTCTATAGAGCATAGGTATTAATATAAATTGAATATTAAATAGGATTGTGTCACATAGCAAGAAGAGTCTGCTGGCCACAAGCTGTAGAAGGGGTACTGTCACCTCCCAAGCACCCCTTGAGAGGTGAGTGTGACCGTGCTGTGACCCATGTCAGTTTCCCATCCTGAAAGAGGTAACAATGAGGTCACTCAAACACCCTGATCAAGGAGAAGCCAAACACTCCATTTTGCCGCAGAATATCTTCCTTTAATAAAGCCTTCTGAAAGGAGCACTTGTACATGGGGTTTAAAGGCTCTTACCTCAGAGTAAGGATAAAAATTAAGAGTTCTAAATCAAAAGTCTCTAGTTTACAGCAGAAGGAGTTACTGGTAGAAGGCCTCAGGTTTCTCAGCTATCTGGAGAGCTCTCCAGTCCTTCCCCCATATGCTCGGGTCTCTCCCAGGCCTTCCTGCCTGGAAAGCTTTGTAGTCTTTCTGTTGCTTGTTCAGTCTCTCCTAGACCTCCCTACCTGGAAAAGCTATTGCCTCATTCACGCTCCCCTCCTTTGGAGCTTCCTTTCTCCTCAGGACCTTTGTTCAACTAAGCTCTCCTAAGCCTCTTATTAGGCCCAGGTACCCCTACTGAATTAACTGCCTTCCAGCTATTTAGGCAGTTAGTTATGCCCAGGTTGTCTTGGATTGGCTTCAAGTATCAGAGGGGTAGCCGTGTTAGTCTGAATCTGTAAAAAGCAACAGAGGGTCCTGTGGCACCTTTGAGACTAACAGAAGTACTGGGAGCATAAGCTTTCGTGGGTAAGAACCTCACTTCTTCAGATGCAAGTAATGGAAATCTCCAGAGGCAGGTATATATCAGTGTGGAG